AACCTAGAAGTGAAAGTAAGGCGGAGCGTGCACGGGGCTGAGCGGGGTCGGCCGATGCTGGGGCGCTCCCAGCTGGGGTCCTGCTGGCTGCCGGAACTCTCCTGCAGGCTGGCGCTGGCGGCCCCGTGCACTGAACTAAGCAGCAGGCAGTCAGGCGAGTGAAAGGGGCGGGCGGGAGGCGTGGTGGAGGTGTCCTCTTCCCAGCCTGTCCTGCTGCCCCTCTCTCGCCACTGTGGCTGGATACCAGGGCAGTGCAGGCACGTGCCGTCCCTGCGGCGTGCACAGCTGCGGCCCCTCGGGGGGAAGGGAGTGGCAGGCCAGGGGGTCTTCTGCCGCCACCCCCCATTTGCCTGCAGATGCAGTGGCCCCACACAGCTGGCCCACAGCTCCCTTGGCAGGAACAGGAACAGCGTGTGGCAGGGACCCATCCACCATCCAGGTAACCTGGCTGCAACCGGGACTGTCCCAGGCCAGCCCCAAGCCCCCTGCCCCTCCAGGACTTCCTCCCTACACACACACCCCAGCCCCCTGCCCTGAGCCCCTCATGCCACCCAACCCTGACTCCTGCACCCCCCCATGCTCCCAGCCCTGACTCCTACATCATCCACATCCCCACCCCCTGCCCTGAGTGCTCCTCCACACATCCCCAGCCCCTGAGCTCCTCCCCCCGAGGGGGGTTGCAATATGACAGTACCTGTAAGAAATTTAAGTTACTTTCACCCCTGCTGGAACCCCAGACCAGCAGCGGACTGAGCGGAGCCAGCGGTGGGCTGAGCGGCTCATCCCGCTGCTGGTCTGGGGTTCCGGCCGGTGGCCCCGCTCAGCCCACTGCCAGCCTGGGGTACCGGCAGCCAGCCCATCTGCTCCTGGCCTCGACCCAGCGCTCTTCAGTCACCCCCTGCTGTAGCCCACATTGGAAAATTCAGCAAGGAAAAGTGAGGGCAAGGATCACACTAAACTGATAAGATCTGCATTTTAATTTTATTTTAAATGAAGCTTCTTAAATATTTTAAAAACCTTATTTACTTTATATACAACAATAGTTTATTTATATAATATACATTTATAGAGAGAGACCTTCTAAAAACGTTAAAATGTATTACCAGCACTCGAAACCTTAAATTACAGTGAACTTGGCACACCACTTCTGAAAGGTTGCCTACCCCTGCTATACCTTTTAATTTCTGTTTAACTAGCTTCCTCATTTTTGTGTAGTTCCCCTTTCTGAAATTAAATGCTGCTTCTTTGGTGTTTCCTCCCATCTCTCCATCCCTCACAAGGATGTAAATTTAGTTATATTATGATCATTATTACCAAGTGGTTCAGCTATATTCACCTCTTGGATCAGATCCTGTGCTCCACTTAAGATTAAATCAAAGAACTACCTCTCCTCTTGTGCGTTCCAGGGCTAGCTGCTCCAAGAAGCAGTCATTTATGGTGTCTAGAAACTTTATCTCTGCATCCCATCCTGAGGTGACACATATTCAGTCAGTATGAGGACAGTTGAAATCCCCCATTATTATTGAGTTTTCTATTTTTATAGTCTCTCTAATTTCCCAGAGCATTTCACAGTCACCACCACGATCCTGGTCCGGTGGTTGGTAGTATATTCCTACTGCTATACTCTTATTATTCAAGCATGAAATTTCTATCCAGAGAGATTCTATGGTACAGTTTGATTCATTTAAGTTTTTTAATATATTTGACTCTATGCTTTCTTTTACATCTAGTGCCACTTCCCAACCTACTCTGTCATTCCTATATATTTTGTACCCTGGTATCACTGTGTCCTATTGATTATCATCATTCCACAAAGTTTTTGTGTTATATCAATATCCTCATTTAATACCAGGCACTTAAGTTTACCCATCTTAGTATTTAGACTTCTAGCATGTGTATACAAGCACTTATAAAATTTGTTACTTTTTAGTTGTTACAATTGAATGGGACTCTTTTTCATTTGACTGTTTCTCTTCAGTTCCTACCTGTGTTTTATCAACTTCTATCTTCTCCTCCTTACTAGAAAAGAGAGAATCCCCATTAATAGATCTTCTCATAGGGATGTCTCTGTCCAAACCATGTGCTCCTACATACCTGTCGACTTTCCCCCAGCCCTTGTTTAAAAATTCCTCTATAATGTTTTTAAATGTACATGTCAGCAGTCTGGTTCCATTTTGCTTTATCTGGAGTCCATCCTTCCTGCAATGGGTCCTTCTTTCCTAGTCTATAGGCAAATATTCCATCAAATTAAAACAAAAGATACGTCAAGTAAAGGAAATATAAAACAATGTACTGATTTGACAAGTTGTATTATGCCTCCAAATCTCAACTGTCTTTTTTTGCTAATTAAACAATTTGCAGGCTTTTTGTCCATAATGTGGACATATGCCTAGAGTTCCCTGCTTTTGTGGGTTAAGTCAAGTCCTTAGAAAAACATTCAAAGCACAAAAGTTATGCTGAAGGTTCATTGTCATATTACTTGATTTCTCTATAGGCAGATGCTACAGTGACAGTTATTAAATAACATTTAATAATTTGAGGCAGTTTTTACTGGAATAAAGTTCTTATAAGATTCCAGCAAGAGTTTCAGTGGTTAAAATGACATTCTACAATATCTTTAATAATAATTTCTACAAGATATTGTAGGCATACAATCACCATTGATAACTGTAATCTCCTTAATGATACTGCTATACCTCTTTGAGGCATTTAAGTAATGGCAGGTTCTAATTTAGAAGAAATTATTTTTATGATTTCCTACTCCATTGGCCTATATATACTAGATACAGAACAAACAACTAAAGATACTTCCTCTTTTACAGGTCAAGGTCAGACATACAGCATATTGTCTCAACTGTATGCATTACATATTTTCAGTCCCCTCTTAATTGAGGTAATCCAGTGTGAACAGCACCAATAAACCTAATTCTATATAGAGAAGCGGTTCAAAGCACACCTGCTAACACAACAGAATGTAGCTGTGCCCTAGGATGCTCTCCCCAAGGAATTCCACCAACAGAGGGCAGCCTTAAACTACGATTGGAGGGTTTTTTTGGGGGGTGGGTAGGAGGGCACCATAAAAGTCTCTCAGCAAAGGTTGTCCTGGAGATGTGCTAATTAATAGTACGTAGACTAAGGGTGTTCATGGACATGAGAGACTTGTAGCGCACACTAGTACCAGGTATAAAACAGCAGGGGACTCTGGAAGTTTCCCCACAGAGTTTCTCCTGTGTGCTTTGTTCCTGACTGGCAAGCACAGCACTCCTTTGGTTCTGTGAACAGAGGTTTCCACACCTGCCTGATTTTGTGATGTGACTAAAAATTCACCATGAAACCCATGACTCAACTCTCTCCCACAAAGCATTTTTTTTCACCATGTAGTGCTCTAGTTTTCATAAAGGATTCCTATTAGATTTCAGGTTATAATGGTAATATCTTGTATTATTTTAGGTATGGCTATTTAGATGGAGATCCAAAAGAGAGATCCCCAGTTATTGATCAGTTCATCGAGTGCGTTTGGCAGCTAATGGAACAGTTTCCCTGTGCCTTTGAGTTCAATGACAGATTCTTGATCCACATACAACATCATATCTATTCCTGCCAGTTTGGTAACTTTCTGTGTAACAGCCAGAAGGAGCGGCGAGAGCTGAAGTATGATTTTCTGTTCTTTAACTACATAGGTATATGTGGGTTTTGCAGATTTTGTGTGTATTAAAGATTAAAATGTCTATATAAATTTGCATGCCTCAAAGTGTAGCAATGTACAATTCTTGCCTGCCAATTCTGGCAAGATAATTTAACAAAAAAAAGTTGAGCTTCTGTAATGTGCAATGCTGTATATATAATCTATAGGTGCGGAAGTGATTTAGGGCCTCACTTGAGCCTTGGTATACTCCTCAGTGTGATTGTTCACATCCCAGAGCTATGTATGTATGAGAAATCCATTTCCCCTCCTAGGGTTGAATCTTCAAGTTTCCTCAGAGCCAGATTCCTCTCTGTCCCACCCACTCCTTTTGGGTAAGGAACTGGGGTTCCTGCTGGTGACACCCTGGTTACCCTGGTCAGGGGAGACAGTGAACTGACCTCTTGCGCTGTTAGTTTTGTACTCTTTGATTGTACTGGAGTTCTTGTGTTCATCACATACTCATCCCACGAACTGTCCAGCAGTACAAATTTCCTGGTTTCTTGTCCACTAGTCCCATTTTAAGGTCATGTGGATGGTCACCATAGAACTGTTCTAACCCACCCAGTGCACACAAATCATCTGGTGGCTCCCCTGGTTGCAGATGTACTCTCCCTTCTGGGTTGACACTTCCATATAAGTCATCTCATTGTGCTTTTGCAGCCCCAGAAATCTTTTCCTGTAAGCCTCAGGAGTCAGTTCAAGTTGAAGGATTGAGGCTTTTAAAAATTGTTCATAGTCCACAAAATCTGCCCCTACATTTGACTGTTTGCTTCTATGCCTCTTACTCCCAGTAAGGGGTGTTATAGATCAAAATGTAGGCAGTCATACCTAGTGGTCAGAGCAGTAGTGGTCAGGAACTATAGGTCAGAGACAGAGTCAGGAATCAAGCCCAGGGTCAGAGCCAGGGCATAGAAGCAGGGACTTGGAGCAAGACAGGAGTGCAAGAACTAGGAGCTGGACAGGAAGGCAGGAATCAGGAAAGAAGGCAGAATCCAATGTAGCATCCAGCCAAGGATTCCTGTAGTTGCTCAGACAACTTCCTGTGTCTCCTTCTGGCTTAAATAGTGAGTCTGAGCCACGCAAAGAGGCTGGACATCTCCTCCAATTGGGAGCTTTGTGGGCAGTGCCTATGGTGAGCTAGGGTCCACCAGCCCACGCTCCCCGCTGGTATCAGCAAGCTGCCATGTGGTGGCTGTGGCCTGGAGACCCAGGTTCAAGACCTGTGATTCCTTCAAAGGGCTCACCCTCCTTCCTGGGCTTCAGAGCCCAAGCTCCAGGCTGAGCCACAACATCTACAGTGCCTCTTTTTAGCACCATATGTCACACAGCACACAACTGTTTCAAATTGTATCTGCACAAACTGCTGATCCCCAGAACCTGCGGTGAGCCACCCACAGAAAAAAGTAGAACTTGGCATAACTCCTGTAGTCTGTAAGGGAATGGTGCCCCACTGGTAACTGGCCATTCCTCCTGTAAAGGCAGAGTCGCCATTATCTGTTACAATGCTACTGTGGCTGCTCAGCAATCTGGTGCCAACTTGAAATGTCAGCACACTAGCATGTGGCTGAAATTCACCCATGGTGTGGAGAACCAGTGGAAGTCCTCTGTGCACTTATGGGCTGTGGGAGGAAGGTTAATCACTGAATAAGTAGCTGCAGTGGAGTGCCTGACCCATTACATGCTGCAGGAAGTGTCTGTGCACCAGGCCCATGTAGGTCAGCAAGGCCATGAAGAGGGGTGGAGAGTGAGGAGGTGTGGAAGAGGCCCGGGGATTCATGAATATACAGATTCAGTGGCCTCAACACAACACAGAACTGATACAAAGGATTAGTGGCTACTGTTTCAACTCATAGAAGCCCTGGGCATGGGCCCTGAAACAGAGGCTACGTTTTTATTTACATAACCCCCATACATTCCACGTCCAGTTACTCTGGCTTTTCAGAGGTGCATTGGATTTCACCTTTAAAGTCCAATGAAGGAAAATGGGCCTCTACATTCTACAGCTATAATTTGTGTAATTTTCTTAAGAGGCTCTGAAGCTGATTGTAGTGAGCAGCAAAGAGCACTGAAGTGTCTTCCCTAGTCTCTAGCTATACCTGCACCTCTGGAAAGCAGTTTATGTATTTTTCTTTTAAATCCTTTCTCAGAATTCAAGAACGAACATATTCGCTTTGGGCTCACTTGTGGAAGAATCGTGCAGATTACATGAATCCTCTGTATAGAGAAGACCACAGTCAGACCCAGGGGACACTGCGCCCACAGACAGCTCCCTGCAATTTCTTGTACAAGTAGGTGACTTCACTTATTGTTGCCATTGCATAGTGCAGGTTACTAGTGGGGTGTATTAGAACAAAACTTCTCATCTCAGAACTTAATCTTATACTGTATATTTTATTCTAGTACATTGATAGATACAGTGGTAAACTCCCTGCCTGCCAATACTCAGACAGGGCCTCTACACTATGTCACAGCATTGGATTAGCTACAAAAGAAGCTTGTGACTAAAACTGCATTGATAGTTGTGTGTACTTATTACATGCATAGGCATTTGTTCCACTGTGGGTACTAGATTTCTGCCATATCAGATTTTGTGATGAATCTTTGATTCCCTGGGTCAATCAGCATCACAGGTGAAACAAGTGGTTTCAGAAAGATCATAGGATCTCACTCACATTTGTTAAAACAAGTACTTAGTAAATAAGCAAATAAAATACTCTGTCCAATGTTGCTGCTAAATTCTAGGTAACACTGGGAGGGTAACTTAGGCCCCACATATTTTTTAGGTATTTACAAGTTTCTATAGAGGCTAATATCATCCAAAATGTTACTATTATTTTTTCAAATAACAATCTATTTTGCTGCTAATACAAGAAAAGTGAAAGTGATTAAAAATTATTATAAGTACAATTGAATAGTTATTTTCATATTCCAAGCTAAAGGATATGTTAAAATGTAAACAAACAACCTAAATGATTAAAAATGAATTAATGTTAATATTCTTTCATGTTTAACACTCTAGGTCACATTTGTAACCCAGGTTTAAAAAAACAGTTTAACTAAAAACTCTAATTGTAATCTGACAGTGTCCCTTTAGGTACAACGATATTTGCAAAAGAGATTTCCAAAATATGGGCCTGATACTGCAGACACTTACTCATGTAAGTAATCCCATTGACTTTAATCAGACTACTTTGAGTAAGGGTTTGCAGGATTGGGCTTTTTGTGTTAATGAATATAGGGTTGGGGGGGACATTACTAAATTAACATAGATTGTTTGGCAAAGAAAAAATAAACCACTTAATACTAGGTAAAAATCTCCTAGAACTAGGGTGACCAGATGTCCTAATTTTATAGGGACAGTCCCGATTTTGGGGGCCTTTTCTTATATAGGCACCTACTACCCTCCACCCCTGTCCCGATTTTTCACACTTGCCCTCTGGTCACCCTACCTAGAACAGCTCTGCCAGCCCTTTGGCTAGACAGATGAATTCTTAATTCAAGTCTGTTACTTACTCTGTCTGCTGAGCTACTTACGTAGATAGTCAGGTGCTGGCCACATGTTACCAGAGAATTAGAAAATAGGGGAGGAGTGATATTACACAATTATCCAAACATACTTATGGCGTACACCCTCCTCTGAGCTGACTTTTCAGTTGCAGGCTAACAGGAACAGTTATTTAACTGAGAACTATGTCAACAATTCACACAAGAGCATGCAGATGGGTGCATGGCTAAGGAGCAAATACACAGAAACCGGCTTGTAAAACCCCGGGCTGCTTCCACTTTCCTAAGGGCTTCTTTTTTAGCCTAGGTTATTATTTTACAGGTCTCTTACTTTAAATTAATTGTAGTGCAGTCTACAATAGCTTGGTATCACTAACCCGCAAAGATTTCATAGAATCAGTAGTTAAGGTCTCCTTTCAGGAATGCACTTTAGCATGTACTTAAATCCATCCATATTCTGCATGTTCTAAGCCCTGCCTCTCAAAGGGAGTTAGGTAAATCTGGGTTGGAGGAAAATGCCTACTTCCTTTTGGGATTCACAGCCATAAACACACACCTGGAGATGACACCTAAGCCAGTTTTTGGAAAATGCTAAACGAGGAGTCCCCCTTATAACCTTTAGTCCAGTAGCTAGGGTACTCACCCTGGATGTGAGAGACCTCAGTTCAATTCTACCCTCTGCATGATGTGGAGAAGGGATTTGAAGCTGGGTTTCCCCCCTTCCCACAAGAGTGCCCTAATCGCTAAGCTATGGGGTTATCTGGTCGGGTCTCTTGCAATCTCTCCTATTGGAGCTGTTCCACTGTGTATAAATAATTAATACAGGGAAGGGAAGAGACTCAAGTTCAGATCAGGCCTCCACATCGGGGGCGGGGGAGGGGGTTGAACCCAGGTGTCCCACATCCTAGGTGAATGTGCTAACCACTGGGCTAAAAGTTATAAAAGGGGTGGGGGAGTGGGTGCAGGCACCATCCCTGCCATGACTTCCTCTGTGCATTTTGTGTGGGTTTAGGGGGTTAGAGAACACTTACTAGATCAGGCCCCGCAGGGGAGAGGGGCAGGGCAGGACCCCCAGTGGGGTTTAGGAATGAGATAGGCGCCTGGTGCCCAGACTGAGATAACTATGCATACGTTCACTGTCAGAAACTGAGATACCTAGGGGACTATAACAGTGGAAATTTAGATGCCTGTAGGGTTAGGCAGCAGCTGTGTGGGGGTTTTGAGGATCTCAGTGATGCCTAAATATTGGATTTAGGCACCTAAAGTGGCTGTTAGGCATCCAAGTGCTTTTGTGGATCTAGCCCTAAATGCTTTCCTGAATCAATCTGGGACCTAATCCTGAAAGTTGTAGAGTATCTGAGCAGAACCAGCAGATTTCATTAGTTTCATTGAGAGTTGTGGCACTCAGCACCTCTCCGGATCAAACCTATGATTGTACAGTGACAACCTGAGAAGAAATCATCATAATAAAATACTGTTTTACCCATGTGATGCAGCAGGTGGAAACAGGCCCCATGAATCTGTTGGGTATTTCATAGACTGCCTTGTGAACACATATTGAGACATCTCTGTGCCAATATGTGTTATTTTGTCTTTTAACATTAGGGTCAAATTTAGAGCAAGTATAAATGGGTACAACTCCGTTGATTTCAGTGGAGTCATGCTTAGCTACACCAAGTACCCAAAAAGTACTTTTCAGCCAGGCCAACAAAACACAAACTCATCCTTGAGATATTTTTTGGCTCTTGTTGTTAAACATTTTTGTTAAATGTGAATTTTTAAGTAACATTTCACACCATAACTTTTAGATGATGCTTCTGATTTTTACCCAACTTTCCAGTAAAAAACTACGCTCAGATGAGCTGTGGCATACAAAACTTCAGGAGGACCAGTTGTTCTTGAGGAAAACTGGAGAGGGGCTAAAATTGGACTTATAATGGAAAGCTGGCTTCAACCTTAATTTTGATGCAGCTACTACTGCGCTATACTATTTTTAAATAGAGGGTATAGAACAAATAAAAAATACAACTTAAGTTATTGTTCTTCTTAGCAAAGGTGTGTATTTATTTTGACAGAACATGCATTTTTGTTGACAGTAAATACATTTAATAAGTTTAAAAGTTTTTTTTTAAAAAGAATTACTATCACTCAGAACTCCAGACAGATTAGATCAAAGCTGTGGTCTAAATCAAATGTAGCCTGATGTTTCTTAAAATTGTATATAATTGATTTATGCCAGTATTAGTCTATAGATTTACATTCTTATGCTTCTTTTTCATTGTCAGTCATACATGATCAAAAGTAGTAAAACATGATCTTGTGGTAGTAAATCTGTTTTTCAATTAACATCATGCAGTGAAGTGCTTACGTATGTTTAAGACCGTGTACTTCTGCATACCGCCTGCATTTAACACTTCTGAGAGTCCCTGCTATCAATTCCAGGTTCTGGAGTGGTATGTATACCCGCTTTGAAAAGGGGATGCATCCCCGGCAGTCAGTTACCGATTACCTGATGGCAGTGAAAGAAGAAACTCAGCAGTTAGAGGAAGAGCTGGAAGTCTTAGAACAGGTAAAGACACTTGATCTGATTTCCCAGACTTCATATTCTCTAAATAAGGCTAGTTATTGGGGAAGTCTTTGATGAATTTCAGCTAAATAGGTAGTTTTTGTTCACCTTTCTACAGGACATGTGCAATGGAGGTCAGGCATATATAATACCAAGATGGCAAAAATAATCCATAAATGTATACTATTACTTAAAAAGTGGTGGCACCTACCATCTGCGGTGTGCTTTTCAAACACAGAGGGAGTTTCTGGGATTGAACTCAATGGGAATTTTTTGCCTTTGACATCTGTAGAAGCCAGGAGTGGGTTTTTTTGGAGGGTAGGGTGAAATTTTGCCCTAGTACCTGCACAAAACACACACTCCCACATATGGCATAAAGGCTGACATGATTAAAGGTCTGTGTAATCCCACTGCAGTTGAGGGAAGAATTCTGATTGTCAAATAAATAGTTGCAAAGGGTGTAAGTCAGATTTTGACCTTAAGTATTTACATTGTGCCCATCACCAAGGTACGCAAGAGCAGAATTGGGTCCGAAACTCGTGCGTGTGTGTAATATATAAACTATATTGTTTCTCTTTCAGAGACTGGCAGATCTCAAAAAAGTGCAGTTAAACAATAGAAAAGAAAACTCTAAGCAACAAGACCACAACACACACTTAGGGCTTTCTACCTCTAACAACAGCATAGCTAACACACCCCAGGATTACATTAATAATGTGAAATCATTCCCATCCCGGAGTCCTTCACAAGGAGACGAAGAAGACTCAGCCCTGATTCTGACCCAGGACAACCTGAAAAGCTCTGATCCTGACCTCTCAGCCACCAGTGATCAGGAGTCAGGTGTGGAAGATTTGAGCTGCAGGTCCCCAAGCGGTGGTTGTTGCCTGCCTAGTGAAGACAGTGGCAAAGATTCAGATGAAGCTGTGTTTCTCACTGTCTGAAATGACATCTGTTCATCAGATGAAGAACAGGCACTGTCCTTGAACATTTAAAAAAATTCCAAAGAAAAGGAGCTGTGCAATTGTGTATGTAAAGGTCCAGGCAGAACAACCACTTATTAGCTGTAATAGGACACAATGTTAATGAAAGGTAATCTCTGCTATTATGAACATTTATTTAAGCCCCTTGTGGTTGATTCTTTTAACCTTATCAGAGCCATGAAGAATTATTCATTTATTTTTGCTTTCCAAATGTTATTTTTATATTTCCGTAATTATGCCTACTGTACATAACTGTGTTTTTGTTGAGTATTTTTGCCTTGAAGGTAGTTGTGTACATTGTGGAAATATTGGGTTTCTTAAAATTTTCAAATTTAACAATTTTGTGAAAAAATTTCTATTAAAATCCTTTCAAAAAAGATATACTGGCATTAGAAAAGGTTCAGAGAAGGGCAACTAAAATGATTAGGGGGTTGGAACGGATTCCATATGAGGAGAGATTAAAGAGGCTAGGACTTTTCAGCTTGGAAAAGAGGAGACTAAGGGGGGATATGCTAGAGGTATATAAAATCATGAGTGATGTGGAGAAAGTGAATAAGGAAAAGTTATTTACTTGTTCCATACTATAAGAACTAGGGGCCACCAAATGAAATTAATGGGCAGCAGGTTTAAAACAAATAAAAGGAAGTTCTTCTTCACACAGCGCACAGTCAATCTGTGGAACTCCTTGCCTGAGGAGGTTGTGAAGGTTAGGACTATAACAGGGTTTAAAATAAATTCATGGAGGTTAAGTCCATTAATGGCTATTAGCCAGGATGGCTAAGGAATGGTGTCCCTAGCCTCGGTTTGTTAGAGGGTGGTGATGGATGGCAGGAGGGAGATCACTTGATCATTGCCTGTTAGGTTCACTCCCTTTGGGGCACCTGGCGTTGGCCACTGTCAGTGGACAGGATACTGAGCTGGATGGACCTTTGGTCTGAGCCAGTACGGCCATTCTTATGTTCTTTCAGCAAAGTAAAAGTAGAAATGACAGAAGCACATGAACAGGATTACTTGGGTGTGTAAATGGGACCCCGACCCTCCAGTTGGATCTGTGTGGGTGGGTCTTTGAGTAAAACAGGAAGAATATAAAAATAAACGCACAAACATTTTGGTAAACCATGACTTTGCACTGAATGATAAGCATCAGAGTTTACTTTATTATTTGTATTACCATAGCACCTAGGAGCCCAAGTCATGGAGCAGGACCCAACTGTGCTAGGCATTATATAAACATAGAACAAAAACAGTCTCTGCCCAAGGGGCTTACAATCTAAGTAATAAATAGTTTTGTTGTTTTTCTAGCCTTTACATAGTATTATTTCTATAATCATTCCAAAAAGAGCCAATTTTTAAAGACCACAGCTAAAATTTTCAAAAGTGCCTATGTCCCATTGACTTTCAGTGAGACTTTTGGAAATTTTACCCTAAGCACCTAAGGGCCTAAGTTACTTTTTAAAATATTACCCCAAAACTGAAGTTAAAAGGATGCTTTCAGTAGACTAGGCCCAGAAATTAGATATTGCAAAAAATATTTTCTCAAATCCTATCACTGATAGAAATGTCTTGTTTTAAAATAAATTCAATTAAGACATTTTCATCTGAATGTAAATTTCTCTTGCTGTATTTGCCAACCAAACATGGTTGAATATTGCTAGGATGTAAAAACCTATATGTGAAACTGACTAGAAATAAGTAATTTATTTTCACTGAGTGAAGTGAAAAAAAGCAACAAAATATGTTGTCTAAAATGATTTTTTTTAACATCTATCCATTTTAATAAGTTAAGATCGTATTAGTAACAAAGGTCTGGAAATATGCAATTTAAAAAAATTAATTAAAACTCTGTTTGAAGTAGAAGCCAGTAAAATACTAACATTTTGGATTCTCTTGTTTATACTAAATTACTTTACTTTGTCTTTTATTTTGTGTGCCAGCATTTACAATTGAACCATTTAAAAATCTAATTTATTGGTCCTCTCTCCTTATCTTTTTTAAGTAGTTGAACATAAAATGGTAAAGTTGCAAGTTTGCTTTAGTTATATTTCTTGTTAATGTTTCAAGAACAGTTTTTACAGGCAGAGTTTGCATAGTCAGATGCCATACCTATTCCTAAATTTGTTGATTTTTAATAAATTTCTAGTAATTTAGTCCACTTTTGCAGGGAAGTTTTCATTCTGATAAGAAACTTTGTGTGTAAAAAGAACAGCTAGCCTCCAGCCTCATAGGAGAGCTGCCCTAATTGGACAAAAGAGTTAGTTGCTCTTAGCAAGCCTTATTTTAGCATTAAATTCAATGACCAGATCCTCAACTTCCAGAAATCCTTGTAGCTCTATTGAAGTAAATGGAACTATGACAATTTATACTGTGCTGAGACTCTGGCCCTATATATTTTAAAATATTTATGCATTTTTAATAAATGAAAGTCCTGATTTTAATTGTACTTTGAAAAAGTGTATTTCATATTTATATTTTGAACATGGGCTGTAAAGTTTGATATTAAAGGGAATTTTGAATGGGTTTTCTTGAAGAAATATACACACACAATCAAGATGGCAACGAGAACAAGTTATGCAAATACATTCTGCTTTAAAATACAAAAGAATAGTAGTTTTCAGAGATTCTCACAATATTGTTGCACATTAAAATGTAACAGTGTAGATTATGGTGTTACTTTGTCTGTGCTGTTAGACATATCTAGAAATAGATGCAAAACTTAAGAATGTTATATATGCAAAATGGAAGCACTAGCTTCATGTTGCTTGTGAAATTATTGTAATGATCTTCATATGTAAAATATGACTGTTTTAGACACCCATCTTTATAGAGCAGTTCCCACTTGTATGCCTTACAGTGCTTGGAACTTTGGTTTAGTCATTTTCATTGTAAATGTGTGTGTTGTAGCATTATACTAGCCTGATGAAAAATACTTAAAAAAATAAACTGCAACGGTTGCATGTTGTTGTTTCACATTAGTGCATTAAAGAGAGGCTTGCTCACATAGCTTTGTAACATAATGCTTAGGAAATTCAAGAGGCATATCAATTGGAATGAGAGATTTTTTCCCCCATATTCTCCTACATCAGCTAGTCATTATCTCCATTTTTGCAGAAAACAGACATGACCACTATTATGAAATCCTATTTTAGTCACCCTAGAACTTTTGCATGACTACTCTGTAATTTGAGACACAACACAATGAGTGTGGTGGGAAGAAGAAGAAAGAAATTAAAATAACCATGTAATCTAGGTTAACTGTTTATGGTGGCAGATGGTTCTAACAGTGAAATCCTGTTGATCTCAATGGGAACGAGGGCATTGATTTTACTGGGGCCAGGATTTCACCCATCTTTAATTTAATAATAATAAAAAAAAATCCCTAAACGCTGGTATCATTGGTTGTCTGACTTTTTTTTCCAAGACAGGATTTGGAGTGGAAATTTGAAGGGGCGGGTTGGCAATTTTCACGGATTAATTCATAAGTAATTCATTTCTACACTCAGAGGCCGCATGGAGATGGCATGGGAGAAGCGGACAAAGAGAGGAATGATTGGGCATTAGTTGTGGAGTACACAACATGGTAAAAAACAAGAGACAGTTGGGAAAGGCTTTGAAGGTGAGATAAAGAAATTTGAACTAGCTGGCTCAAAACCAGAGGCAGGCAATGAAGGTTTTTAAAATAATCAAGGAGAGGAATTATGTGGTCAGAGCCACCAGCAAGAAAAAGAATGCTAGAAGCCATATTTTCAGTGGATGGGGCGAGAAGGTAGAAAGCAATGCTAGTTCATGAGGCTGGAGATGAGGGTGTACTAGTCCAGATGGGCGATGAGGAGGGCCTGAACTAGGTTCAGTGCTGTCGAGAGACACACACTCACGTCAGTTTGATAATGAGAAGGCAGGAGTTGGAGTCTGTGGGGGACAAAGCACAAGGAGTTGAAAAAATAACCCCCAATTACAAGGCTACATGACAAGGAAGAATGGTGCCTGCAGTGATTAGAGGCTTGGTCTTCACTCAAGAGTTAACTTGGGCTCTAATTTGGCTGTTGCCTTTAACCTTGCTGCTCTCCACAAAACCCTCTCAGCCAAGCATGATGTTGATTTACATCAGAGCAAGCTGGCTAGTCCTGGGATATAGGCTAAAGCCTTTGTGCTATTTACATGTTGGTTAGTAACCTGCCAGTTTTGCAGGGAATATGCAAGCCACACCACTCAAGTGCTTATAGCCCTGCACTGCCTTCCCACAATTCACTGGGAAAGAATCATAGTGACTTGGCTTACAACAGCACTAAGAACTATGGGCTATATCCCCAGGAGTTCTGGCACATTCCATGGGTGAGTGTAGTACTAATGTGGACCCAGTAACTTGGGTGTGGCCACTCACACGTGGCTAGCCTGGGTGCTGATGACGTAGGTTGCCATGAAGACATAACCAGAGATGGGGTATATACAACAAAAGATAAGCAATTCAATTTTAAACTAAATGTTGCTAAGTTGCCAGCAGAAGAAAAGATGTCAGATCAACTCTAATTTAGATCTTCTCCAAGCAGAGCTTCAGTTTTTTTTGTTTAAGATACAAAGGATGTACACTGGAGGAAAATCCAATGAGGCATTTGTTTATTCAGCACTTATGAGGATGGAGCCCAGATACGTTTTTTCTTTCTAGTAGCTGGCAGTATTTGTCGCCTTCATTTACTCAACTTTCATTAGCTGCTGAATGCACTGTAGTTTCCACAGACACATACAGAGGGCTATATGATGCATCTTAACTTCTTTAACAAAGGACAAAAGCTATAAATTGTCTTGATCTTTAAAGGCAGGTCAGATGTGTCATTTACAAGGGCGATAAAGACAGCTGTGAAAGCCAATAATTTTGACCATTGATTAACACCATAGTACTAGCCAATCCTCAGCTGAAACTAGTTTCTGAAGGAAGCACGGGGAGTTGATGGTGTCCAGAGACTTAAGAGGGACAGAGTAATTCAGTACAGAGGGCTGGGCATGTTGGCCCTGAGTGAGTATTTATCCCAGTATCAGGCTGGCTTTCACATTCACCGGTTGTGTGGGAGAAGCTTCCCAGTGCCATTATCTGAGCACCAGCCACAGGAATACAAAACAGCCTGTCCAGCACTGACTATATTACAACTAATAGCAATTAAGAAACATGATAAATGGTTCCAATTTCACTAAGAGGACCTGCAGTCAGAGTACATGGTATCCACATGGTAGGTAAAGGACCAGTAGATTGATTATTTTAAAAAGCTTTATTTATAGTTTCACATATTACAATGTACACTAGTCAGTCAGGTACATATACACAACTACCTTAAACTTTCTCCCTCAAGGTTTATAGTCAGACTTACTCTTGAGCCTCAAGGGACATATTCCTAGGTCTTTAAAAGGAAGCAGTAATGAAGACTGGTAAGAAACCGTTGCTTGCCCTGACTGTTTCTAACCTGTATTTGGCCAAGGTCCAAAGTGGTACAGCTATAGGAGCATCTGAAGAGCAAAAAACCATGTGATTAATTCCAAACCTGTTTATAAAATGGTTATGCAACTGACCCAGCTAGTAACTTACAATCTGCTTATATTTAATAAAGTCTGTTGCTCATAGTGCTGGTGGATAGAGTTGAAATTTGATAGTTATCAACCTCACTTCAGAATAAAAGAATGTGAAACAGATTGGGAAGTATATGGCAGATGTTAAAATGGCCCCTTTCAAGAATGTGTAATCCCAGTGGGAGATCTTGTCAGCCAGCTATTGTTGTATACGAGACATTCCCAAAGGAACGTATTTGACTTCGCTGCTTTATACTGCAGGTGGAAGAAATCTTTTCAATATATGAAGTATTATGACCCCTACACAGAGAATTCAGCTCTGCATGTCAGCTGTCAGTTGATCCAAAGGAGAAGGATAGAGATTTACATTAAATACAAAAAATGTTACTACTGAGATAGAAGTTAATATAAGGTAATTACCATTAAACAGCAGCAAACAGAGAAATTAAATCAGTTACTGCAGTACAGAAGTAACCAACTAAAGTAGAGGAATACTGATGACAAATTAGGTCCTCTGTTCCTATTTTGCAAATTACTGAACTGAATATTTACTGAATATCACCATTTTTCACTTGGTGTAACACATCTGTATACACTTTGGCACGAAGTGTGAGGCTATGCAGTGCAGGCTGTCAACAGGCATTAGTCTGTCTGTCTTCTCTAATACTGTATTACACATTTCCTAAAGTTTCATTAGGCCTAGAACATGCAATATTATAGAAAACAGACTTTCCATAGGCCCAACAGCAGCCTCCATGTTCCAGCACTCTCAATGGGACAGCTATTTCAGAGTGGAGTTGCAGTAAATCTACTTAATGTACATGCACTATAAGGGAAGGGAAGAGGGAAATTGTGAGCTACTTATTGTTTTGAAAGCCACACTCACATACTTTCATTAATCAGTGTGTAGAACATACTCTGAGGGCTACAAAAGAACGTAATATTTGGTGCAGGTGCAAAAAATAAAATAAAATAAAAAGTTTCAGGTCAGCCTGAAACAAAAATGTTTTGAAATTATCGGCAAACTAATATAAAAAAAAGTAGCGTGTCAATCTAAAACATTTAAGTTTAGATTGAGGGTTTTTAAAAATAAAATTGAGGGAAATTCAAAAATATTTTTCTTAAACAAAAGTTGAATCATTTAACTTTCAAAAATGCTGAAGTGAACTGTTTCAACATCTCTGATGGGTGCCCCTTCCCAACTGACCAATCCAAATTCACCAATTGTTTTAGCTGATCCAAATCTGCATTTTTCAGCAAAAAAATATTTGAGGCAAAACTTCTCCCAGCTGTACATTTTAATGTTCAAATGTTTTTTGAGGATTAAAATGTACAAGTCATCTTTAAGGGTAATGCTTTAATTGGTACAAGGAATATAATCATCATATAGTCTCTTACTTGCCTAGTACCTCTCATCCTGTAAGATCTCTATCTGGTTTACAAACTGAAACTATGCTCAGGGATCACTTTGCCCACCACCATATTAGCAGCTGTTTAAAACAGCACACCACAGTACAGAGCACAGAGAATAAGTTTTCCTAAATAAAACTGCCAAGTAACTATATGAATTTAAAAAGCACCCATCAATGTAATTTAGGTAAAAAGAATATTACCCCATTTGAAATTTGGGCAGCATATATGGGTTAATATTCCTACACTTGTAAGAAGTGCTAATGGATCTTTACTGACTACAAAGAGTCAGATTTAAGTTTTACCTCAAGCCCAAAAAAACCCAGCATTTCCAGGAACACAGTGGCTATATTAACACAATGCTGGAAGCATTCAATTCAGTACTGACTTAGAGGTTAGAGTGACACCTACTGGTAGAAAGAACAGGAGTACTTGTAAAAAGAACAGGAGTACTTGTGGCACCTTAGAGACTAACAAATTTAT